AAAAATGACTGATAAAATTAGCCTTCTTGTGACTACTAGACAAGAAGCTGGGCAGTTCAGGTGCTGAAACTCGTAAGAATTTCGGAAGCTTTAGCTTTAAGTAAGCTTTAAGGTTACTTAGAAATGTTATAAGACCTCCAGTAGTCAACATATGAAGGATATTATACAAATTTCTCCATTAAATATTTATTATAGATCCACTGATTGGTTTATGTCTAGACTCATTATATGATAAAGGACATAATGATTTTTATCACCTTCATCTAATACAGGATTCTCAAGTCTATATTAGTTGTTTTCTTGAAGGTTGGTTTTCTTCCAAAATTCAGTCTCATGTTCTTATTTTCAGTCTGCACTAGATTTTAAATATACTGTCCCTTAGACGCTTTTTCTAACCTCACATTTCTAATGGATTTGTCTTAGATGCTTATTGCCACTCCTTGGACCGTCACTGCTATCTTCAAAGTTCTGGACAATACATGTATTTCAGAGGGCTTGGAGACATTTCATTACCATAGTTAGCTTGATCAGATACCCTTTAAAAGCACATAGCAGCTATTATAAGCTTTTCAATTTTTAATCAAGTATTTCTTTTGGGTAGTCATTTATTGGTAGTTTACATCCATTGAGTGGTTCAGAACAAATATAGTAAGTTTTTAATAAAATTCTGACCACCTTGGCCAAGCACAATGGTTCAAGCCTGTAATTTGAGCCCTTTGGGAGGATGAGGCAGGAGGATTGCTTGAGCCTAGAAGTTTGAGACCAGCCTAGGCAACGACGAATGCCTGGACTGATGTGGCATTTGAACTAATATTTAGGTTTAACATGAGATAACTGATTATCATTCTATTTTGGAGGCTTTATTTGAATCAGATAGAAATCTGCTTCTCATAGCTATCACTGCCTCTCACCTACCACTTTAAGCGGGCAGGGGAGGAAGTGAGGGAAACAGTTTCTGTTAAGGCCAATAGGGACCTGCTAGACACCCCTCATCCTGAGAATAGTGCATGGAACTCCATTATATACTGGAGTAGTATTGCCATACATTGTATTTTTTTTGTTTTACTCTTCTGCTTATACAGATCAAGTCATACATTTCTAAATTCAGATTGAAAACATTTACAGAGAACAATGCAGTGAAATGAAAAATGAAATTACAGACTGCTGGCATTTGCATTTTCATGTAGCCTCAGCGAGTCATTTTTTTTATAGTATAGCATTGAGAAAATCCTAGTTCATGTAACTAGTTATAGTTCATATAGATTCATATAACTAGTTATAAGTGATAATGGTGTCACCATCTATCTAACCAGATGAAGATAATAATTTTTAATAACTCATCTTAAATTTCAAGGTACCCAAGTTAAATTGATCTAGATGCTTGAGTTGAAATTTTTGTATCAAAGTTCAGTTACTACAATAACATGCTTACATTCCTTATTAAAGTATAAAAGTCCTACAAGCACACAAACTTGAGTAAGTGCTAAAACAAGCATCACTATTGTCACAATACAACTTGTGTTATATTATAACAAGAGTTATAACAGTTCCATATGCTAAGAACTGTGCCTGTTACTTGAGAATGCTGCCCTGTGGTTGGATCTTTCAGATTTGCAGATCATTTGAGAGATTTTAGGTAGAGACAATTACATACTTCATTAATGGGATGTAAGGAGGATTAAGTGAAATAATGCTGGCTAAAAGTCCTTATTTAGTAGACTGCTCAATGGTCACTAAATCGTAATAGTTGTTTTTAACATTTGGCCAAGAACCAATTTAACAGGATTGAGTTGAGGGGCATAGGGGATCATGGGAGTGTTTGAAGTAGAAGCAGCATTCCTTATTAAGAAGAGAAACAGTTTGGAAAAGATAAGACTTTGGAGTAAAAAAAAACACCTGAGTTCAAATCCTATTTGATACATAATGGCTACTTTTAACCTATTGAATGCCAGTTCCCTCATTTGTAAAATAGGGACAATATTTAACCTATATACAGGTTGTCCTGAGAGAATTAGGCACCTAGTACAGGATAATGTTGGCACATGGTAGCCTTTAATAAACTATAGGTATTGAAGAAGCTCTTAGATGTCACTAGGCAGTTAAGCAAAGGAAGACGGCTTTGCTTGGTGTGACGATGAAAATCTTTCTTCTTGGACTAGTTCCCTGAAAATACGTCATTGTATTTACACCTTTATCTTTGCTAACCTATCCCTTTAAATTCTGGGTATTGTGTGTGCCACAGCTTTTTTTTCTTCCATATTCCTACATTTATTTGGTACCTATTGTGCTAGTAATAGATAAGAGGCTACTAAGGGAGGAGGCAACCTACACTGGCTTGTAGCTGCTAATATCATTTCCTATAGCTTATTGTCAGTGTTGTTCATGTGGTAAGGTAAAGAGTGAGAAAGTATTGGAGTCTAAAGAAACTTGAGTAGAAATCAGTTTGTAGCTATTACTGTTCTACCTGCTAACAACTCCTGTTTTCAAGTTATTATGTACAACTTTAGGTAGTTTTCTCTAGCCTTAATCATGGTTTCTTTGTGTTGAGACTACTTTTGAATGACTATGAAGTACAGCCTTAGATATACAGGCTACTTTCAGTTTTTGCCTAAAATAAAAGCATTCTCTGCAATTACACATGCTGGGGAGAAACACCTGCTTCCGAAAGGTTTAAAGCTTGGTTTGGGACTTCTTGTGAGAGTTCCTTTTGTATGCAGTAATCCAAAATTTATATAGTTGTCCTTTATAAAAGTACATTCATCTAGTAGACAAAACTCAATGTAATTTAATTAAATGGCATCTTCTAATCCTTCTGTGATGAACAGAAATGTAGTTTTATTCAAGCTAAGGCAAACTTTTTCCGTCTCATGTTTTGTTTTGTTTTGTTGTTGTTAAGTAGGATAAGTTCTGAACGTCGAAAAGAAAAGTCTCGAGATGCAGCCAGATCTCGGCGAAGTAAAGAATCTGAAGTTTTTTATGAGCTTGCTCATCAGTTGCCACTTCCACATAATGTGAGCTCACATCTTGATAAGGCTTCTGTTATGAGACTTACCATCAGCTATTTGCGTGTGAGGAAACTGCTGGATGCTGGTGAGTTATTTTACAAGGGCGTAAATAGGCCTGAAAATTAGAAATTAGAAGTAAATAGAAATTATTTTTAGAAGGTGGTCACAATGTTTTCATTTTGTATATGTCATTATGTTGTGATATGTACACTTTTAAAATTTGTTCTATAATTCTTGCCATTTTTATCAAACTTCACTTTTTTCTCATCAGTTAAGTTATTCTTTGAAATAATCATTCTTTTTGCATTGTAATTTTGTTTTGCTTTATTCTTTTAAACATACTCTGAATTCTTTTCTATTATAACATCCTTTTTACCTCCTTTTAAAGCTTTAGTCAGGAATTTTAAAGATACTGTTTTTTTTTGTTTTTTTTTTTTAATTTTTCCTTTTTCTCCTCTTCCATCTACCTTTCATTCTTCCTTTAAAAAACATGACTCCTCTTCTTTGATCATTTACCTTGCTACATTACTTTAAATAATCATGAAAAGCAGCTGGCACATCTAATTATGCTCTTTCTAGCTTCTGGCCTTGACTGTTCTCTGTTTAAATGACTGTATATGTTAAATAAAGTATCTGTGAGAAAACTATAAAAACATCTAAATATTATATCATTTAGGTATAACTTTTTAACTAATTTTCCTTTTCTTGTGCCCTTTTTAGGTGATTTGGATATTGAAGATGAAATGAAAGCACAAATGAATTGCTTTTATTTGAAAGCCTTGGATGGTTTTGTTATGGTTCTCACAGATGATGGTGACATGATTTACATTTCCGATAATGTGAACAAATATATGGGATTAACTCAGGTAAAATGTACACATATTAGGAGCCTTTCTGTATGTTTTTATGATTTTATGATACAATCCTAATTTTTTTTAATGTGTTTACAGTTTGAACTCACTGGACACAGTGTGTTTGATTTTACTCATCCATGTGACCATGAGGAAATGAGAGAAATGCTTACACACAGAAATGGTAAGAAAAGTCTGTTGTTTGATTTAATGTGACAGGTGGTTTTACATAATCAGATACTATTGCTAATTATTAAATTTTGCTGTTATACTTACCTAAGGCAAAATGTTATTTCAGGTTTAATAAAATGTTAAGTCTATTCTTCATTAAAACTGTTATTCTAGTTTTTAGGAATTTCATTTTGAAAGCCCACCTAATTGCATAAATAATTGTGTATGTGTGAGACATAAAATGGAAAAATAAATAACAATCAGGACCAAGAGGTTTTTTTTTTTTTTTTTTTTTTTTTTAGATGGAGTTTCACTTTGTTGTCCAGGCTGGTGTGCAGTGGCATGATCACAGCTCACTGTAGCCTTGACTGCTAGGGCTCAAGTGATTTACCCACCTCAGTCTCCAAAGTAACTGGAACCACAGACGTGTGCCACCATGCCCAGCTAATTTTAAAAAAATCATCTGTAGAGAATAAGCCTCACTTTGCTGCCCAGGCTGATCTTGAACTACTGGACTCAAGCCATCCTCCCACTTTGGCCTCCCAAAGTGTTGGGATTACAGACATGAGCCACCATGCCCAGGCTGGTCTTGAACTCCTGGACTCAAGTGATCCTCCTGGCTCAGTCTCCCAAAGTGCTAGAATTAGCCTTTAATTGTAGCACTTTGGGAGACTGAGCCAGGAAGATCTCCATGAAATGGAGTTAAAAATTAAAATACACCATTAAGGCAAGGAGAAATTATAATACCAAGGGCAGATAATAGGATTTTAGACAATCATTAAAGTTGAGGTGCCAGTTTGAGGTCTGAGGCCCAAGAGAAAAAGTTCACCAGAATTTTAAGACAAATAACTGCTTATTGACTTCTTAGGATGTTCTCAATAATTTGAGACTGTATAGTTTGATTATAAAGTTATTACATTGTAGATGCCCACATATTAACAAAAATAGTAAGACTTTTAATTCTTAGGAATGAATTGTTAAAAATAATCAAGTGTGCTGGGCGTGGTGCCTCACACCTGTAATCCCAGCACTTTGGGAGGCCAAGGTGGGTGGATCACGAGGTCAAGAGATTGAGACCATCCTGGCCAACATGGTGAAACCCCATCTCTACTAAAAAATACAAAACTTAGGTGGGCATGGTGGCACACACCTGTAGTCCCAGCTACTTGGTAGGGTGAGTCAGGAGAATCTCTGGAACCCAGGAGGCAGAGGCTGCAGTGAGCCAAGATCACACCACAGCACTCCAGCCTGGCATCTGGTGACAGAGTGAGACTCTGTCCCAAAAAAAAAACAACAACAACAAAGTAAGTGTTCCGAGATTTTTGGAAAGTACCTCTTGAATTAAAAAAAACAAAGTCCACATTTGTGTCTTCTTAAACAGTGTATACTGATCAATAATTATTAAAAATAATCATGTGTTCCAAGATTTTTGGAAAGTACCTCTTGAATTAAAAAAAACAAAGTCCACATTTGTGTCTTCTTAAACAGTGTATACTGATCAATAATTATTAAAAATAATCATGTGTTCCAAGATTTTTGGAAAGTACCTCTTCAATTACAAAAACAATTTCAAGAAAGTCTTCCCACATTTGTGCCATCTTAAACAGCGTATACTGATCATAATTGAAGTTTTCTTCATGTTGGGAAGTTACCACAAGGAAAATTTCTTATGTTCTGCTGTTGTTGTTGCTCTCCAATTTAAGTGCATAAGTTTGTTTACTTCTATATTATACAACCTCAAATTTACTTTTTGTATAACTAAGGTTTTCTTTTTCATCTCATTTACAATAATAACAGCTAACCTCCATTGAGAGAAAACTCCGTGCCAGGACACTGTTCTTCCCATTTTATATGCTTTTACCTCCTTTATTTCTCACAACAACTCTGTGAAGTTAACTGTTAAAATTTCTATTTTACCAGGAAACTGAGGCACAGAGTTACTAAGTAACTTGCCCAACATTATTTGGTTAGTAAATGGCAGAGCTTGGGCTGAACTAGCTTCAGAGTCCACACTCATTCATTAGCTCTTTGGAGCTCTTTTCATATTTTTGAATTCTCACCACATTCTACTGTCTTTTTTCACCGTGTCAGCAGGACCTGTCTCCTGTTTTAAAATTCAATATTGTGTTGTTACTGTTAATTTGGAAAACAATGCATACTTTTGAGAATTCTGTATAAAGGAGGAGTAAATATGCTGTGGACCTAAGTGGCTTGTCAATGAGTTTAATATATGAGTTCCGTTGTGCAGAGTTGAGGTTTATATTGACTGCTCAGTGCTTTTCCTGGGGCTAGACTATAAATGGATGGATATTAAGAAATCTTGTTTTGATTTGGTAATGATGTTAATGCATTATTCCAAATCAGATAGTCTTAATATAGTTTAAATATATATTTTGAACCAAATGTTCTTTTTTAAAGCACACAAACATTTTTGAAATCATTCCTAATGTGGTTAATGAAGTATTGATGTTCCATTGGGAAACTAAAAGGCAGATTTTTCTCTTAAAAATCAGGGACTGTTGCAAAGCATCACATTTTAGTGATACAATGAGAGCCAATGGCATGTTTACACAAATAGTCCTATCATTTATATAAATTCTAAAAAGATGCTTTAGAATTTATAAGTTATTACAAAATAACTTATTTTTAGAGAGTTTAAAATTTAGTGTTTAAAAAAAAAATTTTTTTTTTCACCCTTTAGGAAAACGTTGGTACTTTTCAGTTACCTTGGTTTTTTTTTTTTTTTTTTTTTTAAGATGGAGTCTCGCTCTGTTGCCCAGGCTGGAGTGAGGTGGCACTATCTTGGTTCACTGCAACTTCTGCCTCCTGGGTTCAAGCGATTCTCCTGCCTCAGCCTCCCAAGTAGCTGGGACTACAAGTATGTGCCACCATGCCTGACTAGTTTTTTGTATTGTTAGTAGAGACAGGTTTCTCTGTGGTACCCATAATGGTCTCAATCTAACCTCGTGATCCGCCTGCCTTGGCCTCCCGAAGTGTTGAGATTACAGGTGTGTGCCATTGCGCCCAGCCTACCTTGATTTTTTAAATTAATCTACAGATCCCCATTCAAAGGCCTTGGGTTTCTTTCAAAGGTCAGTATAATTCAAGCATAGATTATGAAGGAATGAACATACCCAAAGGATTTTGCATGTGAATCTTTATTGCCACTGCCACAACCATCACCACCTACACACATACATACACATTCTCTCTCTCTCTCTCCCCCTCTCCCTCCCTCCCTCTCTCCCCCCTCCCTCCTCCCTCTCTCCCTCACTCTCTCGTTCTCTTGCTCTCTCGCTCTCATGGCATCTTTTGAAAATATACTCTTGAATCCTTCCAGGATTCAAGCCTGGCTAGTATTTTGCCACAATGGCCAGCCTAGTCTCAAACTTCTGGCCTCAAGTGATCTTCCTGATCTTCCTATCTCAGCCTCCCAAAATGCTGGGATTACAG